TCTTTTGTGTTTAAATTTTAATTTGTTGTCAAAGATTTCTTTTTTATATAATTTTTCTTTAATATACAGTTAGAAGTCCTAATTTTTCCAATTTTTTTTTATACTAAATTATTGTAATTTTTTTTTAATCGTTATATTGTTTTTCTGAAAAAATGTTTTATTAACTTCTGAGCATTATTATTGACGATGTTGTTTATATTTGTTTTTTTTTTGTTTCATTTAGTATTGTCTAATTTTGTGTTTCGTTTACTTGTATTTTATTTTGTGCAAATTCTAGTGGCTACAAAAATTACTATTTAAGTATATAATTATGTATTATTTTAGCTGTTTGTTTGCCTTAAATAAATAAATAATTATATAGATTTTTTTTTTCTTTCTTCTCTATTGAATCCTTAATTCCAAGGTTGATAACCACCAAATGACTTATTATAAGCACTTAAAATCCGTCAGTTTCACAGATTAAAATGAACTGTTTTAAAAATCAGCACTGGAATCAATAGATCAGTGCTGTTTATATTATTTGCTACTCCCAAGTTGCATAAAACATGCCAAACTTTTTATTGATGCAATAACAGTCTACAATATGAATATTAATATGCCCTATTAGGTCAACCTCCGCGTGGTTCCCCCTGGAAACCATCGTGAACAATTCTTGTCGAATTGGTCACGTTGGGCTAACTGACCTGCTTCATCTTCACCTATCATCCTTCACTGGTGCCCCGCCGGTGTAAACTAATGGCGCAGGTGGGGTTACCGTTCCATTATCACCCATTAAAAAAAAAACAGTCTACAGTGTTACGTATAATTTAATAAAATCACATTTCTTGTGTTTTATCTTGTGTTTAAAACATTACAAAAGTAAAATAATAATTTTAGACATACGATTATATGGTTCTATGTAAATTCAAGTACAAAATAAACACTACATTCCTAGAACTAAAACGGTATACAGTTTTTTTTTTATATTTCAGAAATAAAAAATCTCGTTTACGAAACTGTACTTCAGAAATACGAATAACGTTTTTAGTGAAAAAATAAACTGGAACATTCTATCTATCCAGTAAACTCCGACATGACTAGCCGGTGTTTTTCTCGGAAATTTAAATATAAAATGCTTACTTTAAACAAGTTTTTGCGATATCACTCGTGTGGTCATTTAATCATATACATGATATGAATAAAAAAATTTAAACAAAGACTTTAATCGTTACAATTACATTTTTTTTCCACTAATTTAGTTTTGGAATAAAAAGTAATTTTTTTTAAAAACTAAATTACTGAACCAATTTTGATAAAAATTTTATGGAACTAATTTGAAAATAGATATATATAGTTTTGACGCAGTCTGGCGTAAAAAGACAGCTTCGTTTTTACGTCAAATACGCGGTCTATCTAAACATAAATAAATAAATAAATAAAATATTTTCAGATAAGAGAAGAATTTTTCGAATCGATCCAATCATCTTCAAATAACCGTAATCTGAATAATGTACATAAAAAAAAATCCGAAGAATTGAGAACCTTTTTTTTTTAATCAGTTAAACAGTTGTACTATATAAGTTAAATCAATTTTTTACATCAATCTAGTTGACATTTCTAATCCATATGGTGTGATTTTTAAACGTCAAACTTACGAGAAATTTACTACTTGAAAGATTAATACTTGATTTACCTTATTAATATTAAACTACTATCATACCTACTTGTACAACAATTAGTCCATTACCCTAAGGTTGTCTTGAAAAGATTGCTCTCAGCAATAAGACCGCCTTACTGTACTTATACAATTGTATCGTTGTGTCTGTAAATTGCCTTGCTTATTTCCTATATTGTATAATGCAAATAAAGTATACTTATTCATTCAATCATTCATTAAACAACTCACAATATCTTTTGGAATTAGGAGTAAGAATGATCTATATTTTTTTCGTAATCATTATATTTTTTCGAATTTTATTCAAACAATTATTTCAATTAGATTTATCCTTTTGTAATACTCGCAGCACAACATTCGTTCACTTTTTAACAAATACAAAATAGAAACTACTCCGATTATAAAAATGTAAAATTGACATTAGATTTCAATCAAAGATACGATATAATACATAATCATTTTTGTTATTCATAATCTACGAAACATAAGCTATATCACCCTAACAACAAATTGATTATCATTACACTGCTAAGTCTCTCCCATGAGAAAAGGTTACAATACATACATGAATGTGATACCAAAGCATTAAATGTTTCACTAACACGTGAAAGTTTTCGTTATCAACATTTCTGCCGGCCCTCCGATCTCAAAACCGGCATATCTTAATAAATTAACATTAACAGTCATTTTGAATTCCGACTCTTTTAAAAAAAAAACCTACTTGATAAGTTGACGGTGAAAAGTTGGTTTCTCCAAAATATTACACGGCGGGCCGTCTTTGTGGTTGTACGCGAGTTATAAAAAGGAATAAAAAGTGGTTCCTGGTTTATTTATTGCAGGTTAAATTATATTTCTTCGGTTTATCTGACTTATGGGTATAACAGGTGATTAATATCACCTCTTATACCCATAAATTTCCATAAGTACCCACCCATGTCAGTTTTAAAATAGCATCTTTTATGCATACGCACTGTATGGCATGTTCGCAAAGACCAGAGTTAATGATTTCTTTGCTATTTTACGTAATTGTAAAGCGAAATTTCATAAAAGATTAATGAAAATAAGTAATCCTATTGTTAAAACAGTATTTCACACAAACAGTATTTGTGTTCTTGACGACCAAGGAATTTATAATAAAATTCTTTTAATTCGTATTTAATTTATTTATATTTATCCAAATTATAATTATTAAAATTAAATTATACTAATAAATTTAATGTAAACTATGAGTTATATCTGAAATATTATATTTGAAATAAAAAGACATTATTTTATTTATTTATTAATCTTAAAATATTTATCAGAAAATTCATGACGATTATAATGTTCATTTAAGATTTTTATTAGTTTAAGTAATGAGTTATTACAATTTATAGTCTTCATAAGTTTATCTGTAAATTGCATGCTATTTATTTATAACTGTATAATATAAATTTTCTCTTAAAATCTTTCTCTCATGATTAGACAAATAAATTCTAGTTTATTTATACAAAATATATTTACAGATTAAATATAGTTTGAGCATATACTCGTAAATGCTTTACGTTAGTTATTTGTCGAGATGTTAAACTTTTATTTATGTCAACAGATTCTCAAATACTGGCAAGCAAAGCAGTGTACCTTCTATTCATTAAAAAAATATATTATTATAAAAAATATTATATTCCACTTAATTTGGTTTTTTAATTATTGTTGATCCATTTTTAAGAACAGATTTCAAACTTTCCTAATATAATGGTCATCTTTTTCATAAAAACTGACACATCCTACAAACCTATTTTAACTATTAGTTAAAATAATTCTGTTATAGTCTTTCAAATTGAGAAATTTGCGCAAAAAAAAAAGACACTTCAATATCAGAATAGAGTTATAAGATGTTTGAAGATTTTTTTTTATATAAAAAAGGGTAAAATTATAACTATACGACGTTTATACTTGGCAAATAATAAAAAGAAAAACACATAACGTGAGGGGTCTTAATAAGATCAATACATAGCGGTCAAAATAATGATTTTTAGAAATTTTGCCTGTCTATAAATGTTTTCCAATATCACTAAAAAAGTCCTATACCAAATCAGATACTCTTCTTACAGACACGTTTCACAAGATCTAACTTAAAATTTCGTATATATATTTCACTATAATACATCATATAGAACTGGTTTTAGTTAGTTTTCCTACTTCTGAAGCTACATATACGAAATAATGAGCAAAAAGCTAGAAGTGAATAAAACCAGTATGCACATAACACCGTTAATTCTACATAAAATAATACAAGTAAGATTGTAAAAAAAAAAAAACAAAAACCTTGTTTTTATCACTACAGAATAGTTACTAGCACTATGTTAAACGGAAGATCACGTAACCCACGCGTCCGTCATGCAGTTTGTATCACGAACAGTCCAATGCCACGTTCTTGTAATATCACGTGCCAAAAACGCATTCTTTCAAGCAGCTAAGTATTTGTTTAATTGATAACACATCAATATATTAAATATTAGTTTTGTTGTATTTATGATAACAATACTGTCTTGTATATTATAATTAGTTTTAATAGAATTGTAATACATTTAATTTTTTTTTTATTTCCAATGTAAGAAAGTGCCGTATGGTTTCGGCATAGAATAGGCCACCTTACCTTCCCCGTGGGTGTCGTAAGAGGTGATTAAGGGAACTTATGGAAGGTAAGGGATTGTATTTTCTATGCCGAGACAAAAACGGCGAAGCTTATGCTTATTTCATATTTTATATAAATATTATTAATAAATATATATGTAGATCGTTACGAACCAACGACAACAAAAAAATCAATTCTTTTTATTAACTGATGACTTCAAAAATTTTAATTTTTTTTTTACTATATAAGCGTATTATATTAATAAAACAAATATTATATATATATCAAATTCACAGTCTCAAATGACCTTAAACTGACCTTACTAAGTGTACATAATACCGTCATTGTTTGACCAAGCCCCGCAAAATTAAAAATGCTACTCGTTAAAATTCAAAGCACTCGATTTTGTTTCTTAACGTACCAACATTATGACTACAGAAACAGTCCTCAAAATCGTATGAATTGGCCAAGTATATATTACTAAAGAGGTAAATACACCATCCGTTCATAAATACGTTTACGATGACCTATAGATAAGGTAATAGTTTTCGTTTTTACATTTATGTGTCGAAATGCACAATACAATACGATAATAACATTATTACAAACAAGGCATTACACTGTTGTGGTTTTATAAAGCATAACATTATTAGGCAGTACATTATTATTCGCTTAATCTCGTTTTATTATCTAAAAAAAAAAACTAATAACAACGAAATTTTTACTTACATTTTTGGCACCAACGATCAATACACTGTTACTTTTAAATATTTTACTTATTTTGAATCTGAAACAAACAATATAAAAATGTAAACCTGTATTTAAAAATAGTCTACATATTATAATTTCAATGATTAATTACAATTTTAAATCTATTAATAAGAAAGAAAATTTCGCAATTTGTTCCCTATATAATTTCCTAGTAATAAAGCTATTAGCCAATAGATGGCGTTATCGATGAGTTATAACCTCATTTCCATACTATGATGTAAAACCCCATGGCAATGTCACACACGTTGTGATTCGAAATCGCAAGGTAATTCTCTCATTACTATTTACGATAGATGACAATTACCCACAGATTCCACAATGGAATGTGGGCTGACTGGTATACCAAGTGTTGCATTGTTTAAGCAACAGGATTAGCATAAGATTTCATAATACTTGTAACTACTGGGCGCTTAGTTCGATAATTACGACATGGAACAGGTCTCGGCCTTGGTTGTTGATAAAAAATATTATTTAGGATTACTTGTCAAGAAAATTATGAAAGATTATTTCTGACCATTTATATGTATATCATATAAAGTTATTACTAAACATCCAAACATTAATTGTAATTTCAAACTAAATATCACTGTATTTATATAAAAACAAATAAACTTAAAAAGAATATAATAGTATAATAATAAAACAAAACTTGTTTATTTTGAAGAAAAAGAAATAAGAAATGCCCCGAGTGAGGTTCGAACTCACGACCTCGAGATTATGAGACTCGCGCGCTGCCTACTGCGCTATCGAGGCCGATGTGAGTCATGTTAAAATAGGTCAATACATGTTTAGTTACAGGTTATTGTAGTAATAAAAAATATATACATTTTATATTAACAAAATATACGACTAGCCTTCTAGCACTCTAATAGCCGTAAAAAATATAATCACTGTGTAATTAATCATCTAAAGACATTTCATACTCTATAAACAATAATTATGATTTATTCCAATAGCTTTTAAAATTATTTAACCTTCTCGCGTCACATAGGCGAGATTACGAAATATTTTAAGAACATTAACTACAATTATAACATTAGCCGGCCATTTAAAAGTTTTTTTTTACATTATCTACAGACGATGTACTGGCCGGAAATAAAAAAAAATTAAGAAAAAACAACAGTTGCGCATATAACCTTCCCATATTTTTTAATTATATAAAAAAAAAATGTTATTTTCACAGAGACTTGTACCCTATTGCGGGTGAGAGGGAAAGGGATTGTTATTATTGGGGATTACATACCCTCATTATTTTATTTATTTTATCAAGTTGACCTCCTCGCGGTCCACTCTGGAAGCCATCGTGATTAGATTCTGGTGAATTCGTCGCAATGGGCCAACAGATGGTGAGATCAGTTATGTTAATTTTCCAGCACCTACCCCTCCAGCATCATAAGCGAAGTTACAATGACATATTCATCATATAAATAACTAGGAATAACTTTAGGAGTAATCAGAGAACTAATGAACATACTTAGGGGGGAAAGGGATTGTTAGTAATGGAGACTGAGAATCCCATTGCTAGCAATATACCTAACCAGGTCGATCTCCTCGCGGAAACTATCATGGTTAATTCCTGATGAATTCATCATGATGGGCTAACTGGCCTGTTTTCATTCTCATCTATCACCCTTCACTGGTACTCCGCCAGCGTATCCCGTTAGCGCAGGCGGGGATACCATACCGCGAGGAGGTCGACCTGGTTGGGTATATTGCTAGCAATGGGATTCTCAGTCTCCATCACTAACAATCCCTTTCTCCCCTATCTATATGTTTAGAGAGCAATAGGTTTTCCTCAATAAATGCTTCTTAGTAAAAATTTTAAATTTATTTAAAGGTAAATCTAATATATTCTTTGGCCAATATTCATACTACTTTATTCATTTATATATCAACATAATTATGTAGTAAGTATAGACGAGTCTGTATGAGTATTAAAACACTGCGCCTATTTGTGGATAAGTATCTACCATAAAAAAATAACATCACGAATTCAATTAAAACTAATTAATCCATAATAACAACACTTACAATTAATTATAAATAGTCTTCCAACGCACCACATCGAAACATAAAATATTTTAGAAAAATCTGATACCAACATTTTCGGATGATTTTTTTTTGTCGGCTGTATGTTTGATTTCCTTCGACTTTGCCACAGATAAGAAATTAACAAGTAAATCTTCGCGCGTTTACAACTGTTACAGACGGAGAGGTTTGTATTGTATTTGTACACGTAACGTAACCAACTTTCACTTAATTATAGTAATGTGTTAATACTGTTAATCAGGTCTTCAATGGTTACTTTTCCCTGACCGTGATATTTTTTTTGATGGGTGAAAATGATATGGTAATAGATGATAGATGAGAATGAAAACAGGCCAGTTAGCCCATCATGATGAATTCATTATGAATTAACCATGATAGTTTCCAGGGGGGACCGCGAGGAGATCGACCTGGTTGGGTATATTGCTAGCAATGGGATTCTCAGTCTCCATTACTAACAATCCCTTTCCCCCCTGCCCGTGATATTGTAAACTTGGTATATATTTTCTCTCTGGCGATTTTTATGCGATTCATTGAAAATATACATAGTATAAACTTAAAATGTATAGAATTGCATTGCATATCGAAAATGTGTTAAAATTTAGTCAGCTAATTTGACTTTTGGCTGATTTTAAATTTTTTTTTAAATCGACACTACACGCACTTTTTTTTTAGTGTTGCAAGTAATTAATATACGTATTAAAAATTCATGTCGATTTTTTTTAATTAAAACTTAGAAATATTTCTTCTGATATATTTTTTCGTATTCTATCGTGGTCCCGGCATAGAATGGGCCATCCTTTCCTTTCCCATGAGTGTCAACTAAGGGAATTAAATGACCGAGGGATGGGTAGCAACGTCCATTTTCAAATTGCGATCCCCTTTAAGAAGAAACGCCTCCCCCCATGGGTCGTGACCCCCCTGGTTAAAAAACAATGCCTTTTTTTTTGATGGGTGAAAATGGTATGGTAACCCCGTCTGCGCTAACGGTATACGCTGGCGGAGCACCAGTGAAGGGTGATAGATGAGAATGAAAACAGGCCAGTTAGCCCATCATGATGAATTCATCAGGAATTAACCATGATAGTTTGCAGGGGGAACCGCGAGGAGGTCCACCTGGTTGGGTATATTGCTAGCAATGGGATTCTCAGTCTCCATTACTAACAATCCCTTTCCCCGCAAAACAATGCCTTTGGTTACCCTTTTTATTAAGTTCCATTAACATAGACTATAGTTATGTATATGGATATAATATATACCTACTTAACATTTAAAGATTAGCATTCTAGAAGAATCTATGTCAGCGAATACCGTTCGATGCCTCGGAATTATGGCGATAACCAAAAACGGTTTGATCCTAATACGGCATTCGGCAGGTCGCATATTGATTTATTTATTGATTATTTTTCAATCTAATGACTTCGACAAATCAGATAATAATTAAAGATTGTGTCCTTCAACAAAAAAACCGACTTCATTTGTGACGAAAAACAGTTATTATAACCTAAAAACCGAACTACTGAACCGATTTTACCGATAAAATTTATATGGGACCAATCTGTAAATATAAATCCTTTTAGATAAAAAAAATGCAAATCAGTTTAGTACTGGCAGAGTTATGAAGTAACACAAAAAAAGAAAGAAAAAATACGATCGAATTGAGAACTTCTTTTTTTGAAGTCGGTTGAATAGATTTTCAACCGATTTCATATATATATATAATATAAAAATGGTGGTGGGAAAAAGGTGATTACGCATTTCGATATCGCCCATGTCGGTTGAATATCTTGTTTTTTTATGCAACTTAGAGTGGCAAACAAGCTGACGGCCCACCTGATGGAAAGTGGTAACCGTCGCCTATAGACATGAGCAGTACCATGGACATAACAGAGTATACTGTTCCGCCCATGATACCCCCTATGCGTTGCCATTCCTGAGAACTCAGATGTTATTCCTCTGTACCCAGTAAATTCACGCCATATCCCACCCTTCAAACCGAAACACAACTATGCAAACACAACTGCTTCACGGTAGAAACACGAACGGGACAGAGGTACCCAAGCAATCGACTTTTGTACAAAGTACAAAATGAAATGAAATTAACGTGCAGGGGTACCCAATATATAGATATCCGTTCGGTATCTACATTACCCATTTCTAATTATAGCCCACGGGCATACTAACAATTATTTGCCAATCCGCAATTCCATCCTATAATTTAAGCGTCCATTATTGCATTATTACTCACTGTCTCCATTTTGGGAAGCGTGATTATAAAATGGAAGCGCGTGCGCAGTCATTTCATGTAATTATGTGTTGTAGTTTTTATTGCTACACTTATGCAAAATTTCGTATGTATATTTAATTGTAGACATAAGTATTCTCTATTATTATTCTTCTATTCGTTTTATTATTAAAAAATAATAGTTATAGATAGATAGATAGATACTCCTCCAAAAGATTACAATAGTAAACTTATTATAAATATAAACAATTACAAGAAATAATCACAATGAGAAAACAATGGGTGACCTTATCGCTAAGAGCGATAATTCTTATCAGTGATAGGAATTTTCAGATGTTTCTTGTAGCGATGTTTTTTATCTCCTCAGGATATAGAGTGTGTTTCCAAATGAGATATATCGTTTATGTACCACACATTCAGTGCTGCAGCGTTGCTTCCTTATTGGGACAAAATCTGCAAACACTTTTTGGACATAAGCCTAGTTGGCCCATATGCTTGTTCAATTCGCAGTGTCCAATGAGAGCCCTTGTTAATATACACATCATTTTTTTACTCAAAAGAAACAGATAGATGCTCTTAATTGTTTCCTTCATAAGATTACAGTAGTAAACTTATAATAAATACAAACAATTACAAGAAAATATTACACTAAGAAAACAATGGATGGCCTTATTGCTAAGAGCGATCTTTTCCAGGCAACCTTTGGATTGAGAAGAGTAATTATA